CGAACCCTTCCGAGCTCATATCCAGGCTGCCTAACTAATCCCTGGTGTTTGGGATTGAAGCAGAGAACCTTGAAGGGTTACAGAGATTTTGTCGGGGGGCCGGTAAGCCCATTAGCACTCGTGCGAGAAGGCCGTAAGAAGCGAGGAGGAAAATGGAGGAGGAAAGGGGAGGAGGAAAAAAAGAAAAAAGGGGGAATCTTCTGCCACGCTGAAGAAAATTTTGAGCGCCCGCCTTTAAGCTGGTTAATATGAAACTGTAAAAGCCAAGAGTTTTCCAATATTGGTTATGTCTTGGTATAGGCTGGTCAATATTGTACAGTATAGACCACTTACAACGTAACCGCTTATAGTGCAGGACCGGGTATAACGCGGTTTTTTTAAACCACCGGTTCGCCTCCCATAGAACTCCATGTAATTACATACCGCTTAAAATGCAGGCGCGCGAAGGGAAATACCGGTTATAGTGCGGTTTCTGGCACAGCCCGCCGACCGCGCCGAAGACCGGAGCAGCGAGCACACTTCCCTGTGCGACACTAGACAGATAACGGCGCGAGCCGCAAACGGCACTCGCGGGGCAAGGAGGTTGCTCGGAGAAGCGAAGAGAGAGGCTTCATTTGCCATAGCGACTGAAGGACGCACGCACGTGTCGTTCATGTGCGTGCGTCCCTCCGCTGCGTTGGAAACAAACAACCGAAACGACCGACCAATCGCAGGTCGAGAAGTGTTCGCGCACGTTGCATGCCAATCGCGGGCCGGCGGCTTCTGTCCGTAAACATGGCGTCGGTTGTGGCGTTCATCTCATCGTTCCACGTAAAAACGCTATCCTTGACAGTGAATTTTCGTTGTGTGTCGCTATGATAACCCAGCACGTACTAGAAGGGAAGATCCACCTACTCGTGCGGCGATGTGGCGGCGCTCTCAAGACGGCAGAAACGCCCGTGTCGTCGTGTTTGTTTACTTCGGCTAAAGTGGTGCTTTCTAAGCATTTGTGTTTTCGAACATCGCCCGGATTTCTTATTTGGAGCATTTCATGCCTGTGCTCAAGTTCAAGGTATTTTTCTGGCGCGTACCGTATGAAGAATGCGAATTTTCACGCGTTTTCATCTCCGGAGAAAAGTGATTAGGGTTAGCAATCCTGAACGCTCGCAACGTCCGTCCGCAACCCGCGACGCCGTTAAAAGGCTGCGCCAGGCAAAAGCCGCTTATTTCTTTCAAAATGTGTGACACACTTGACAGAGATGTGTACTAGTCTGGTGAAATAAAGACTTTTCTCAAACTAAGCTTTATTTTTCATCTAAAATAAAATAAATTCTTTTACAAAGGTAGGTTGTCTCGTGGCATGTATTTTGGCCTGAAAAATTGATGTTTTGGTTATAACGCGGTACCGCTTATAGTGCGGATTTTCGCGACTCCCGCGACATACGTTATATGCGGTCTACACTGTACTGCTATAGCCAATGGCTTATCGATATTTGTGTCGCCTAGGCTATAGACCCGCGAACCTCTTTTTTGCATTGCAGAGGTAGGAAAGTGGAAAAGTCATTCATGCGCTCACTCGGGGCGAGAATTTTTTTAACAAACTTCATGTGGCGTACGTCGCCAGTGCTTTGTAACCGCAATCACAAATACATCCTTAGCTGCCTATAGGATTATTGCAGTTTTTTTGCCGGCTGCTCTCCCTTCGCATTACCTTACCTCGGCGTTGGCAACTTAATTCCGTTTTTGAAATTTAATTATTTTGTCTTTTCCAGTGTATTTTGTATATATATGCATTACGTAGCGTTAACGTCTTCTACTTTGTCCGTGTCCCTCCCATGTTTGTATTTCTTTCTGCGAGCTCCATTTTCATATTCAATGTTTCCGTGCATATTTCGTCATTTCGACACAGGTGTCAATAAACATAAAGCCGCCGCTTACGCTGCAACCGAAGTGACTACTACTTTTAGTTTTACGAGAGTCTATAGCGCTATAAAGTCGTCTACTATTGGACTCGAATAAAGTCTCGAGAGGGCTGCTTCGAGCCAGTGCACATGTCATCAGTGTAGGCAGAGCAACGACGTAGCAATCGTGACGCGAGAGCATACTGCGCCTCAATCTGGCCGGCTGCGCTCGCTCTGCGGAAATGTGAGCGTGGGACTCTCGAGCCCCGTTAGCTTCCTGAAGTTGCAAGACGCTCTTTTGTCGTCGCGAATCCTTTGCCCTTCGAACGGTCGCGAAGCCATTGCGCCTGGCGTATACCCTACGCAGCATCTTTCAGAAACCGTTCGTGCAGCATCGCAACCTTTTGTCTGCGAGTATCGGGGATTCATTGTGCGTTGAAAGTCAGACGATGTGCTTTCCGTGGTGTCTTTTATGTGTAACTCGTTCGAGAAAAAATTTGAACTTTAAAAACGCGAACCTAACAGTGTACAGACAATTTTAAATTTATTGATAAAAATATATATATATATTTATTTGTGGACATCGAGCGCAAAAAATAGTCGCGCTAAGTTCTTCATTCTAAATAATAATGTGGGTTGTATGACGTAAAACATAGTGTCTTCAAACTTGCCCCGTTTAGAATCACTTTTGGGCATGACAACTTCTTTAGAAGTTCAAAAGCTGGCCTTCAAAGAGCTGTCCTGTTCAATCGGTATTGACAGCAGGGTAGACGCTATGCGTGTTTTAGGCCAATCGTGTCTCCGGTTAGGGTCTGGTGACTACAGTCTCGAAGCTGGTGATAAGGCAGAGCACGGAACCTGCCAGCCCAAGGCCACGCATGGCATCCATTGCACTATCAACCTTGGGTACAAGTGACAAATCCTGTGGCTGTGTTCATTGTTGAGATGCCCCTGAAGATTAGCCTTTGTAAGCGCACCCCCGTTCTGGCCTGCTTCCTTTCTACTCCTTCTCTCGTTTTCTCTCTCCCCCTAAGCTGAAGGCGCGGCAGGAGCGTGATCACGTGGTTTGACGGATGACGCATTAGCGGTTGACAAGCCTGGAATGCCTCCGAAGACCGGACCTAGTTTCGCGTGCAATGCGGCCTGCGGGCCTGCTGTGGATTTCGCTTCAGTGGTAAATGGTATCTCGTTCCAAAAGTCCTACCCGTATCAATTTTTTCAAAGAAGTGCAAGACATTCTTGTGAATCGTTTTGTGTTCGGTTCGGCAAACGGCAGCATGTGCTACATCGTGTTGAATCTTCACGGATCACTTCCTTCTAGTTTGAGTGGTTGGTCTGCAGTGCCCGTGTCGACATCTACCTCGTATTACATCTCACAAGTCCGGTATTTTCAACGTAAGTGCGCTGCAACCTACTTGGTGATCGTTGTCCATTCTTCTATGTGTACTCTTCCGGATAACCTCTAGAATCAGGCAGTGCCTATCTCCTGGCACTGTCGGGAGAATTAAGTTTCCCGCAATCTTACCGACAGTCGCCTGCCATTATCTGTCGGAAATAATGTAACAAGTGCAGGTAGAATACTGACTTCCTTATTCACCCTGCATATCGCGAAAACACGTTTCGTGGCCACCTTTTCATGAATACACGTTGCGTCGACATTCACGTTTCATCGACAGTCATTACGCGAATTGCACGCAGTTTGGGCATTTCGTCGCGCGAGTATTCCTGAGGCGCAACGTTTCCTCGACATTCGTTACGCGAATTGCACGCTGTAGGAGGCATTTCAAAGCGCGTGTATTCCTGGGGCGCGTGCACCCTGAACCAGCCCACCCTTTCACGCCGCTTCATGGTAATTGTGCAACAATTCTTTGCAAAAGAAAAAAAAATGCTATTCTGAGTTTTTTTATGAAACATCGCGTGTTGATGAGACGATCTGTCGATGAATTGTCATTCGATGAACTGATTGCACCGCCAATGAGGGGCGACTACCGGTAGAATTTCGGGGAAAAAATTCTGCCAGCTGTCGGGAGACTGGAAACTACCCAAGAATTACCCCGGTTGTTGTTTGCTTTCCAATTTTCTCAGTTGTATAACAGCTGATTAGTACCTCTTCACATATTACAAATTGCTTAGTTTGTACTTGTCTACAGAATAGGCTGTCTGTAATAAACTTTTAGGAGATTTTAAAAATATCCCTTGTGACTGTGTACCTTCCTTTTTGCAAACAACTTGGCGAGTGCACTTGCACACAGCTGGGCGAGTGCAACGATGGCCAAAAATCAGCACCAATGACGGCCAACATTGGATTGGGTCGCACTTCCAGTATTGTCCAATATTACGCCGGTGTTTGCCAATGTGAGACAACCATTGGCTGGAACCATGGTTTAGCAATGGCCCAACATTGGCACCAACGATGGGGCCGACATTGGCTGGAACGATGGCTGAACATTGGCGCAAATGACTGGGCCAACGTTGAATGGGGTAGCGCTTCCAATATTGTCCAATATTGAGGCCGGTGTTTGCCAATGTTAGGCCAATGTCAGACCAACATTGGTGTGCTGCCTGGGAAGCTTTTCAATGCGCGAATAAATGTGTATTTGGTTATGTAATTTCTGTACCCTAGTGCCCATACACTTTCTGCAGCATGCACAAGACGTTTCACGTACCCCGCTGCGGCTGCATCCCCGATACGCCTACCCAATTTTTCGGCTATTTGGTCGAGCCTTCTTCGCCGGCACTTCTACGACCAATTGACAGGATTGTGATGAGCGACCAAACTTGCCGCCGGCTCCCGCAATGTAATTTGTTGCAATGTTGCAAACGCCTTCAACACACACATGGCACAGGACGCTAAATATGCCGTTCAAAGATGCTGCCATATCTGAGAACAGCTTTTGCGTTGGGGTTCCGAGGGGAGCACAGAAGAGTTCCCTAGGAGCATAGACTGTGCGCAACAATGTTTCGACGTACAGGTGCATTTCCGAAGCTCAGATTTTGTGTTGTACCAGTTCACAGGTTTGTGCAACTGGTTTGTCAGTCAAATAAACGACGCCAAGCTGGCAGGACAAATGCGTCGGATGAGTCCCAGATACCGCGACACCGGATGGAAAGGGCACCCACCTTCAGCCATAGGGGCAGCGCCAGGGACCCCCAGGGCAGCTCTCGCACGGTGATGCGGCCCATGAAGAGGTTGGAAATCCACTTCTGGCAGCACGGGTGGGCCAGGAAGGAGCGGTTCTGGGCCTGCACCGCAATGTCCACGGCCGTGCGGTAGCCCCAGTCGGGACTCTGCTCGCTCAGCACGTCGTAGGCGCGGCACGTGGCCGCCCCGTAGCTGCGGTCCAGCACCCCTGTGGCCATGGCGGAGAATTCCCTGCGCCCACGGCGTGCCACCCAGGGGTCATCGCTGGAATGCCTCCGCCGATTCGCCTCGCGCAAGCCCGACCAATACTGCCTAGAAGATAGGGCCTGTGCCTCTCCAGTAACGTTATTGCAAGTAGATCCCCGCAGTGCCGCCTAGCTCGTGTCCACGCTGCTGCCTGCACAATTTCCAGTGTCTCGCAACGAGCGCATTGCCAGCAGGCGGTTGTGCCAATACACCTGCGTGTGTCACTTCGCCGAATCCTCTCGTCGAAACTTCAGCATGCTTTCTGCTCGAGGCGGGCCAAGGATCCACTAACAATGACGTAATGCTGGCTTGCCTTTTAGGTGGTACTGACCCAACATGAACAGACTCAACCTAGCCCAACCTAGTCAAACCTATATTAATTGTACATGGTTTACATACAGTGGACCCGATAAAGCTTTTCTCCTTTGAGAAGAGTGCATAAATCGGTTAGGACTATACAGACCGATCCCCAATTTTCGCTAAGTGGTGCAGAAAAAAGTTGACCTATGTATATTTTGAAAGAATATGATGGTTCCTCAGAGCCGTGAAGGTCCACATGAAATAAGCTGCTCTGCAAAAGTTGCTTTTTGTCTCATTTGTAGGCCCCCAAAGCTGTCGTACGTTGCATTTTCGCGGATCATAAAGTCTTTTTATCGCAATCCCCTAAAACATGTATCAATATCAAAAAGGTCCCACTACCTGAGTACTATCACTAGTGCACCAATTTTCCCACAGGGAGTGAAGCGCCACAAATCAGTGCTGTCACGAGCAAGAAATTATAGAAATATCCCCACACTTCGCAGTACTCTGCCTCCAAACGGGGACTGGGCTTTATTGCTACGGCCACCCGACGAAGGGTGGAGAGGCCTGCCCCGCACCGCCAGCCCTGCACCTGTGCGAGGCATTAACGTAAGCCCTCCTTGCCCTCATCAAAACCTTCTTAAGCTCTGCCTCTCCTTCTTCCTGTGGTAGTGGTCTCAGCCCAATCACTTTGAGGAACTCACTAAAGTCACTCGTGTCAGGTGACACTAGTTCACGCGACAGCTGCTAATGGGAGCCACCATTTCGATGCATAAAGACGGGACATCATTTGTGACGAACATGGTTCGGAAATGCGACCTTCGAACGGTACATACGGTGTTGGAAGAGCACGGCGGTATCACTTTTCTGCGTGCTTTTGGCGGATGGGACAACGGAAAGCACTTCCGGCGTTTCCCATCGGGCGCGTCGGCAGAAGCAGCTCAAAGCCGGCAACATTGATTCTTTGCAACACAACTGAAGTGTCGTCACTCTGAAATGTAGCCAATTCAAGGCCAGTTCACCCAAACAGCACAGCGCTAAACCAACACGAGGAACAGCACTAAAAGAGCACTGATGCAACTCTCCATCAGCACTGGATCACTGCCCAACAGAGAGTCAATGCTGCATCGGTAAGGTCAGAGCTATTTCCACTGTTGACTACCGTATCTTTCGGTCTACAAGTCACACTGCCGCACAAGTTGCATATCTTTGTATGGTCGGCGAAAGTGCAATGACAAGCATAGATATGTGCACTGCAATCGCAATATATGCGCTGGCAGAGCAGACCGTCTGCTGATGCTCTGGCGTTCCTCCTTCGTCGTAGATGTCAATACGGCCTACATCTCGCATCGTTAGGGTCCCTACTTATGAAGGAAAAAAATGAAAGCTGTTTACAACTCCCTGTAACGTCGAATTAGAGCACAGCTCTTAAGGAGGAGGGGAAGGTGCGGAGAGGGGGCTATGCCCCTCCTCCTCTCCTGCTCACCTCCCGTCTAAGGGAAAATTTTCTGTTCAATTTAGTGGAAAAAATTCGCCACTAAATTTGGCAGAGGAATTTTTCCGCTAGATTTAGCGGGGAATTTTTTCCGCTAAATTTGGCGGGGAAAGCTTTCCACTAAATTTGGTGGGGAAAATTTTCCGCTAAATTTAGCGGAAAAATTTTTCCGCTAAATTTAGCGGGGGAAAATTTCTGCTAAGTTTAGCATAAAATTCTTTCAGCTAAATTTTGCAGGAAATTTTTTCTGCTACATCTAGCGGGGACGATTTTACACTAAATTTAGCGGGGAAAGTTTTTAGCTAAGTTTAGCGGGGAATTTTTTCTGCTAAATTTAGCGGGAAAACTTTTCACTAGATTTAGCGGAAAATTTTTCCGCCAAATTCAGCGGGAAAATTTTCCGCTAAATTTAGCGGGAAAAATTGTTCACTAGATTTAGCGGGGAAAATATTCCGCTGGATTTAGCGGGGAAGTTTTTCCGCTAAAATAAGCGAGGAAATTTTTTCGCTAAATTTAGCAGGGAAACTTTTCCATTAAATTTAGCAGGGAAATTTACCCATCGTGCACTGCACAATTACGCCGACGCCGACGCCACTCAAGCCGGAAACGGGCGCCTAAGAGCTGCGCTCTAAAAAATTGTAGAGCCCTTCCACTTCACTAAAGGTGGAGGAACAGCGAAACTGTTATTTTTGCGACATCTAGGATGATGCCTAGAGGACGACGTCTATGACGACCTCAAGGATGACTTCTAGGACGATTTTGAGGACACCTAAAGGATGACATCTCGGACGACCTCAAGGATGACTTCTAAGACGACATAAGGACAACGCCTAGGACGACCTCGAGGATGCCTTCTAGGACGACCTGGAAGATGACGTCTAGGACAGCCTGAAGGACGACTTCTAGGACGACCTCAAGGACGCCGCCTCGAGGACGACTTCTAGGACTTCTAGCACGACCTCGAGGAAAATGCCTATGACGATCTCTCGGACGACCTCGAGAACAAATTCTAGAACGACCTCGAAGACAACGTCTAGGACAACCTTGAGGACAACGCCTAGGGGACGATGTCTCGAACAATTTCTAGGACAACCTCAAGGATGATGCCTAAAGATGGTAACAAGGAATCAGGCCCTTAATGTCTAATAATGCCAAGGAAGACTGACCCATGCTGGGTGCCCCCTTTTTTTTATTTTTATTTATTCATATTTGCCACGACTAATGGGGAATTTTCTGTCAACATCTGCAGACACATTTTTCCCAGATCCTAGCGCATAACAGCTTCGTTGTAAAAATGCATATAAGTCATGCTGTTGAACAAGAAAATTCGGAAGAAAAAGGCATTCTAATGCATAGCATTTAGAATGCCTTTGCCGATGTCCGCCTGAAACCAGTTTGTCGCACACATTAAACGCCGCACCAAATGGATAGTCTCCGACCCTAAACACAAAATGCCGATCGGCCGCTTTGTAATGGTAAATGGCTTCCTTTTGGTGCTGGGCCCGGCGCTATCGTTATGAAGTCGCCTCTCTAGCTCCTTTATCTCCCCCTGTTGCGCCCGCCATTGTTGCTAGTGTGCCACTTCGGTGCTAAACAAAGTCGGCAAGCAAGAGCCTTCACAGATATGCATAGTCGACTTTGCTGCCGCCAAGCACACACCGAGGAAGGTCCCCGCACCATTAGCAGTTGCCGGCTGCACATGGAATGTGCAATCAGCAAATGGGCGCTCCACACTCCATGCTCTGCGCTGTACATTCTCTCGCTGCACACTCTGTCCAGGCTACATCTCAGATGCAAACACAGAAGTGCTAAGAGCTGGCCCTATAAATGCTAGGCATTTAAAAGTGAAACTTATACGCCAGAAAATACAGTATTAGCACCGAGGTAGCACGCTGCAGTATGTGGGAACAGGCTCTCAGCGGCCTCGGCTCTCACTGGCTGGTGTCCAGCAGCTCCTGGCGGGTGTTCCCCTGGTGGGCATAATGTGCGAGGCGCTGGTAGGCCATGGACACGAGCAGGGCCAGCTGGATGGGCTGGTCGCAGGCCTGCCAGAGCAGGCGTCCCAGCTGGGGCCTGCGGCTGCAGCAGGCCCACAGGGAGAGCAGGACCAGGGCCCGGCGCTCGGCCGCCGAGGGGCCCCGGGTGTAGATGCCTAGGGCCGCGTTCATCCACAGCTCCTGCACGTCCACCAGCTCGGGGAGCCCCGTCAGGGTCTCCAGCAGCCAGCCAAGCTCTCGCTCCACAAACGCCATGCCCAGCCGGGAGGTCTGTGAGCGTGAAACACACTCGTGGTTTGGACCGGGACCCCTCAGGCTTTTCCATCTCTAGGAACCCCCGTCTGCCCCGAATGGCAACCATGGAATTTCTCCTGGTGTTGATGCACCAAAGCAGTGCAGAAGCCAACAGATCCTGTAGACAATGGTTCACTTCTAGGGGGTGTTTGGCTCATAGCTGTGTATTAATGGGTGGTTCAGATCTGCTAAAATAGTACTTGAGCTGGAAAAATGTGTGCAGGGACGGTCGAGGAAATTTGGGAGCTTGGGGAAGCCACAAGGGAACTTTGGGGAATCCCAGGGTTCTTTAAAACCCTGAGGTTTCGACGAAGTTCCCTAGCAGGTTCCCCACGTGTGCAAATTTCCCCGACTGTCCCCGAGCCCAACTAACAGATTTTTCCAGTTTGAGGAGTGCTTTAGCAGATTTGAACCACTCATTCATGCATGACACTGAGCCAAACATACCATTGTATTTGCATTACTGTTTACAAGGGCTGTAGGTTTCTGCATAGCATCAGTGCATCAATACTAAGATCGGAAGACATTCCTCAACTTCCATTCGAGGCAAGTCTTAAAATCGTAAATTTTGAGAACTTTTGGTTTAGACGATTTATGTTGGCCAGTGACTGCAGTTGACAAAGAAAGCCTAAAGATCCCCTAGGTTACATAAACATATGTTTCCCATACCACAAGCTACATAGCGCACCTTACATGACCCTCACTTAAAACAGAAAGCTCTTGAAATCTGACACAGCAGAGGAGAGGAGGAAACCCTTCAATGCTGTCGGAAGTTTTTGGAAGTTGTAGAGGTCTTACCTAACTAGAACACAGCTTGGTTTGCTGGGCAAGTTGGTGATTGACATTCATATTAAAAATAGTGCAAAAAAGACGAGACAAAAAGACGAAGAAGCACACAGGACAAGCGCTATTTTCGTGCACTGCGCGCACTGCTCACATAGTGGAAGCTTACACAGAAAAGAGCCCAATCAAGAAGAAATGTATTGTAAAAGCTTGGTCTGCTGGGGAAGTTGGTAATTGACATTCATATTAAATATAGTGCAAAAAAGACGGGACAAAAAGATGAAAAAGCTCACAGGACAAGCATTATTTTAACTAGTTTTTAACTCATTTCTATAGTCGGTTGCAAGCTAAGAAAAAACCGGAAATGCCTCTCAGAGGAAAATGTAATCCTACGCCGAGAAACGCCAGCCAATTGTTTTCATGACGTCACGATTCTGTGGACCAATCGCGATCCTTTTGAAAAAAAAAAAGCTCAACATGGCTGCTGGCCTTAGCAACGCGATGCTATAGTTTCTCGTGACAATTATTCTGCTTTTTTGCACCGTGTTTTACGTGCCCGAGGTTACGCCACGAAATCTTGATGGTATCGGCTTGCGTTTGCAGCAGTTTTTGCACGACAACGTGAGAATCCAGCGACGCTATCGCCAACGAAAATTTCGAAGCGGGCGCGAGGCTTAGCACTGCTGAGAGGTATGTTAGACGGTATGTTAGACAGTATCTTGGACAGAAAATGAATTGGGAAGACGGTGCATTGGACATGAATTTCTTTCTTTCTTTACTAAACAGCTATTTCGTTGACAAAAACGTATTCTAACTTATTTAAATGTCCTGAATGAATTAAATAAATATTGTAAGACACGTTTCCTGGAGGAAGAAAAAGCAACGTTGCTAGCGAACTACTTTCTCGACGGCGGAGGCACTTCAGATGGGCGCAATGCGCTTGTGGGTGGAGCTAAAAGATTGTTCTTAGGTTGCATCCGACTATAGATTGAGGTTCTACTGTAGTCTGTGTGCTTCTTCATCTTTTGGCACTGCTTTTAACTAGAACACAGACTACAGGAGAACCTGAATGATACATTTTTCGGAAGACTGCAGTAAAAGATCGAATTTCTAATCTGGGAAAACACAACAACAATAATGCTTTTGGAGGCCTGTAGACGAGACAGGAAGTAACTCTCAAACAGCAATTTTATTCCACATGATAATTCGCAGCTGTGAAAAATTTCTTTAAGAAAGAGATCATCCTTTTGTTTTAGAACTGTTATCTAAAATTAAGAGTCTATATGTAATTGTAACAAGCGAGGGCTTGGTCTATGAAAGAGAGCAACATTTCTGAGCCGATCGAGTTAAAATAAATGCTCCCACGTGCCATCTGCCATCCCTAGCACACAGATACAAAGCAGTGAAGCTCGACTCGCACGATGGTACAGAGCAGTGAAGCTTGAAGCACATGCATTGGGCATGCACCGCATATGGTGTACGATTACAGAATCAGAATTCTATGCGAAATGAAACTAGCACACCAGGGAAACTAAGCGCAGCAGAAGTGAGCACACCAGCTAGAGAAAGAGACTGAAAGTTGAACAAGTGATTGCAAAAGCTTCAATCCCTTTCAAGCCTGCCAAGGTCATGCCCGCTCTGACAAGAGGCATAGCGCAGAGAGGCAAAGCAGGGTGATTGCGACTGAGTGGCCCAGCATGGTGCTTGGCCATGTAAGACACTAATTTTTAGGGGCAATGCTCCTTAGGGTCTATCTAGCCTTGTCCGGCGTCCGTGCCACATCGATTACACTGCCTCCGGGATTGGCCCACATTTAAAAAAAAAATGTATGCCAGCACGGGGGTTCGAACTCAAGACCGCTTGGTTACGAGGCAGACGTCTTAACCACTACGCTACACTCCAACGTTGCATGTAGCCGCTCAACATCTATACAAGAGAGGGCGCTGCGGTCAAATGCGTATATAATCGCATTAAACTTCGCATGCATTGGCTCAACGTTTATAGACGAGAGGGCCCTGCGGTCAAATGCTCAAATGCGTATATAACCACGATCCATACCACAGATTCTCTTTCTGACATAGACCGTTGACTTAAACAGTGGAGATGCATTCCCACAACTTCTAGCGGATCCAAGCTGATCCGCTAGAAGAGCCACTGGCTCTGCATTTCACCGACCATAAAGCAGTAATAATGAAGTCAAAACGCAACCTGGAACCCAGCACTACCTAAGAGCAATGAAAAAAAATCGGCACCATCAGCACTACCTATGAACAAAAAAATCAGTATCATCAGCACCACCACAGCTTCGCCCCAATCAACATCATTCACCACATAGAAAAGTGCCCATTTTTATTTATTTTTTTTAGGTAAAAACCTAGAAGGCAAAACACAACAAGTAGGAAATTGATACCTGTACTCGATAGGGCCAGCAGTCGTGAACGTAACAACCAGATAGAGGTATAAATCGAGAATGTATTAAAGAGCTTCTACCCTGCAGTGCTTCCCAAGTGTAAGAAGGTAATTGACAACTGTTGCGCACGACTGTCTAACACGGGTGACCTGTAAAAGAGGGAGTGCTCACGGGGCTGTGTCCCAAGATGGCTTCCCAGCAGACAGAGCGGAAGAACTGCTCATTCAGCGCCCTCTGGAAGAGGCGCTTGAGGCGCCTCGGGGTCAGGACCTTATGCACCTGGAAGCCCCGGTCCAGCAGCATCCGCACAAACTGCTCTCGGTCGGGACGCACCAGGGCCTCCTCGAACAGGGCCCAGTCCACCTGGCACACAGAGGGGTCATTCGCGATAAATCCAGAGGAAAAGATCCATCATCTTTCCATACATTCCGGCTGCTTCGAAATGGTAATACATCGAGGCAGGCAACGGCGGTACCGGCAAAGCAGTTATGTTGCCATTGCCCACACAAAAGTAGTCTCTTTTGACCACTTCAACTGTGCACTAAAATTTACCTTTGGCTAGACCGTGTCCCAGGAGATTTGTTTATTCACCCAGGTTTTGCAACTAATAAATGATGCGTTAACTGGAAGTTTACGTCTGCCTGCTTTTACTTCTCTTCCTCAATGCGTGATTCGAAACTGCCTGACACAAAAGGCACATCAGCCGATTCCGTAACCACAAAGGACAGGTTACCTTGCACAGCCAAGTCAGAGAAGGAGGCACTCGCCTGCAGCTTGCACGACGGGTCCTTGAGGAAAACTTCCGTCATGGCCACATCGGGACAGTTCCAGTCCAGCGTCAGCAGCAGGTCCTTCTTCCGCTGGCCGGAGTGCGCCGCACGCCCTTGCGCTGGGACACGGGAGTCCAGTATGTGGCACGAGCCTTTTACCTGTCACGGCACTAGTGCACCCATCACTGAGATGCATTCCTAATTTTAATAACTAGTGGAGACTTGGCAGTTTAGTGCTTTTGGACAGGAAACCAATAAATCTTGAAGAACCCTTTCTGCCTCGAATGGCAGCCGAAAAACCCTTCCCAGTTTTGGCGTGGATGCAATAAAGCTGTGCAGAAGCCTACAGACCTTGTAAGGAATAGGAGCCATACTTGGGGTGAATGGGTAGCTCAGATCTGCTAAAATACCGGTGCTTAAAAGAGGAAGAACAACTTACTAAAGGACAAGGGTAGTTAAGAAAATAAGAGAGCTCAGAAAACCCATAGATGTATACTCAGGAAAAACCCTGGTTTTCTAGGAGTCCAGCTCAATAAGAACCCATGCTTTAGGACCATGTTACAAGTTAAAAACATGCTTTTCATGCAAGGTCCATTAAAGTATGTTAGACACTCAAGAAAACCAGTCCTTAGCCTTAAATTAAGTCCTTACTTCAAACTCGTCTTCTTCATGTTCTGCCCACTGAAAAGCAAGCAGACAGGAAGGTGTCTCAACCTTTGCTTTAGAGAACGCTTCCTAGAAGCTTTGCGAGCCTCCGATCCTCACCATCCCCATGCTGCATGTGAAGCTCGTACATCTAGGTTTTGAAAGAACAAATTACTTGGGAAACACAAGAGCGTACATGGCCGGAGTAACTGCTTTTGTTATCCGATGCCGAAATTGCTTACCCCACCTATCTCAGATGTGTTCTTGATCATTGTCTCTTTCCATCTTACCTTTTTCTTCTGCATTTATTTTCATTCTTTCCCCTTTTCTTCTTCCAAGACTCTCTTTCCTTTTCATTCTTTTTCTTAACTGCCTGAGAAGGTCTGTTCAATAGTAGTGGGTATCAATAAACCCCTTGTTGCTACTACTAGTCCAAAAGTATGTGTCAGTCCATTGTTCCTTCATGTATTATGCTTACTCACAGTTAGCGGTAACACGGGAGCGCGTGGTAGCGGGTACAATCGGAGAACTCTAACGACCCGGCGCTCAACTGCAGCGCCTCTGCACCGCTGCAATTGTAGTTGCGCACCTGGCCGATAAAGTGCTCCGATAGTACCCGATGGCACGCGCTTCCGTGTTCCCGCTACCTGTGATTAAGGAAGTACCTCATTCCTTTGTCCTCACTGCGTTCACAAACACCCTCTCTTTGCCCCTTCAGCCAAGCAGCATCCTGAAGAACTGCGGCAAGCTCCCAGTGTGCCCAGCTATCTTGCACACCCGGTGGCTCTGAGCTAAAGGCCTTCCGAGTCCCATTAGATGTGAACCCCATCAGAGTTTGCACTCAGAGGAGGTTCAGGCTCCGCCAGAATATAAACCACAGAGGTTCAATCTCTGCCGCCCGCCCGCCCGCCCGCCCCCGCCCCCCGCCCCGCCCCCCCCCCCCCCCCCCCCCGCCCCCGCCCCTCCCCCCCCCCCCCCCGCCCCCGCCCCGCCCCGCCGCCCCCCCCCCCCCCCAAAGCTTGGAATCTCTGGTTATGGACCTTTGTTAGGGGGTAGGGTAGTGGCAGGACTAACACTATCAATACATGGCTTGCACTGACATCTCATCAGTGGCCACTGTGGTGGCCTTGCTGCTGAGCAGGTATCTTCTGCAGCATACAATTTCCATCAAATTCAGTTTTTTATGCAATAACACATAGGAATGACCAGCAACACGCTGCAGTTACATCACACGCAAGCCATGTACAACCCTATAGTCAGAGACTGCTTTAGAAACAAGGAGTGAGGCTCATTGTCCACGTCTTCGCTCTTTGGCGCTTTTATCTGCCAACAGCACAGTTTCAAGGGCTGCGATAATAAGATGCTCGAGAATCGTCGCACCCTGAGTTTCTGAAGCTGCGACTATACTAACGTACGGCGTGCTACGTCCCTGCAATACAGGCAGTTGCATTTGAATATAAATGGACAACAAAAAGGAGAGGGCTTGTGGCTCCGTAGCGCTTGGACACGGAGCCAAACACGTCCACCAATGGTGGGGAGGTACCTTTGAAGACAGCCTTGAGCAGAATCTCATCCAGCCTGTCCAGGTTGCACGCCTGGCTACGCATGTCAACGAGCATGAAGACGGCCTGTTGGTCGCTCTGGCATGCCAGCCGCACACACTCCACCACCTGCGCACGGCTCCGGGGGGCACCCAGAGTTGCCCTCGTCAGGCTCCATTTCGTTTTCGACTGCCCGTCTCGAGCATAGGTATTGATAAAAAATATACAGTGCAAAAATCTGAGTGAAAAAAGCGGAAATTGCAGAGTGGGCCTACAAGTCTGCCAAAATGGTACGTGCGCACCTCTATCGGTGTATCCGTTCACGACGAACGCCTATTCATTTAAAATAATATTGGGCTAAATACTTCCAATTTTGTTGAATATGCAATTATTTAAATGGCACTGTGTGGAAAGGTTTGTTGAATATGCAATTAATTAAATGGAAAACTTAAAAGAGATACTACAATGAAATTTAGGCGCTTATTTTTTGGTCTACATCTGTTCAAAGGAGCAGTATCACATCAGGCACACCAATATCCTGTTAACAAAGACACGAAAATGAATTTTAAACCAAATTAAACGATTAGCAATAAGCACCTGGTGGTTGTCACTAACGCCTCGCTTGTAATGCCCGTCTAAGAACCTTGGCAGACAGTGACGACGCTTGTCTCGCCTCCAGCCACGACGAGAGAAGAGGGGAAAAAGGAACTCCCCTCTTGCCGAGAATCCCTTTTGTGTGACCCGGAAGTTGCTATTGTCCCTCTACAAGATTCTAGAAGATTAACCCGTCATTCAAAATTCATACAAAAGCAGTCACTTCGGTGGCTGGAACTAGGCCATCGCCTCGACGTCAGCCTCGCCGTAGCTTTGCTCGTCCCGACACAAGCTACATCACGATTGCATTGGATGTCACGTGGGCTCTGCTGGCTGTTCTCCGAGAGCTTGCCAGAGTGGGCCGTTTATAACGAAAAATACAGCTATAAATCTCAAAATACAAACGAGCGATTGCCATTTACAGATATTGTACATACCTGCCAACCTGTGGACTTTCAAATTCGTAAAAGTCCCGCGGCTGCGGCGGGGGGGGGGGGGGGGGTTACGCGAAGCGATGTGCAGCTTAATGTCAGCCTGGCCAGCGTGCGAAACGCTCCGCCGAACACACGAACAAGGGCTTTGAGCTTTGAATTGGTTTTCGATCGGTGGCCACTGGATAGACGGATAGTAAAAACCACGACGTTGCTGTGGACGGTACCTATCGTCCTCTTGTGGCGGTGCAAGATACCGCCAACAACGGAGTTACAAAAAATAAAAAAAAAAAAAATAAAGAAATATATTTTTCGTAAGATTTGAAGCAAGATTCGTAAAATCGTAAAAATAGTCCGAATTCGTACATTTTACGAAAAATTCGGAAGAGTTGGCAGGTATGATTGTAGATCATATTCAACCTATTTTTGAACACGACGGGTATATTTCAAATTTCGTTGAAGTATCTCTTTAAGGCTACAAATGAAAGAATAACATTTAACCCAATGGTTCTCAGATAGGATTCCACAGAGCCTCTCGGGTCCACAAAGCCTTTGCCTCAAGTTTCTCCCACCCCCCCCCCCACCCCCAATTCTCTTAAAAAAAAGGCTTTTGTTCATTTTAGGTTAGGTGGCACAGGCTGTTGCCCGTTCTGATGGATACAGCCGTTACCATCCATCCATCTGTTCATCCTTTTAGAGCGCAGCTCTTAGGGGCCCGTTCCCGGCTTGAGCGGCGTCGCCGTCGCCGTCGGCGTCGGCGTAACCAAGGTCATCCCAAGGTCACGTGACCCCCAAGGTCACGTGACCCCTCCCAAGGTCATCTCAAGGTCACGTGACCCCCTGAAGGTCACGTGGCCCCTCGAGGTCACGTGACCCCTTCCAAGGTCATCTCAAGGTCACGTGACCCCAAGATGACCCCACGTGACCCTTTGAAGGTCACGTGACCCCCAAGTCACGTGACCCCTCTGAGGTCACGTGACCCCCGAGGTCACGTGGTCGCCTCCCCAAGGTCACGTGACCCCCAAGGTCACGTGACCCCTTCCAAGGTCATCTCAAGGTCACGTGACCCCACGTGACCCCCAGGTCACGTGACCCCTCTGAGGTCACGTGACCCCTCTGAGGTCACGTGACCCCCCGAGGTCACGTGACCCCTCCAGGTCACGTGACCCCCAAGGTCACGTGGGGGTCACCTTTGGGGTCACGTGGCCTTGAGGTCACCCCCAGGTCACGCCTCCCCGAGGTCACGTGACCCCCTCCCCGAAGTCACGTGACACCCCCCCCCCCCCCGGAGCATATTAAAGAATGAGGGGAGGAGGAGGAGAAGGGGGAGGGGTCTACCCTCCCCTCAGTACCCTTCACTCCTCCTCCTCAAGAGCTGCGCTCCAATTCGGCGTTACAGGGATTTGTAAACGGCTTTCACTTTTTTAGTTGATGCTTCTCACTTGTCTTTTCTATAACAAAAAAAGATTCCGAGGACACCTAAGCAATTCTTATGAGTTGTGAATGCAAAAGCATGAATGTCTTTCTTCTGCTCCCTTAGTTCATCTGCGGTGTACTGGCGTGGACGGCCACGTATTGCTACTGCCGAGGTTGCGGCCGCCGACAATGGCGACACCTCAAACGCCACTATGTCCCTCGGCGCCAAGAGGAGCGGAGCCGGCAGCTGCCCCCCACCTGTTTCCGGCAACGCCTGCCACGAGAGCAGCAGCCAAGCGCACTCTCGTAAAACGGCCGCCAATGACTATCTAGGAGCCGTTTTGCTCAGCCAATGGGAGAACAGGCATTTCTTTTGCGTTTTTTTGCGGTTACAGACGCCGTCAGCTTGCTCCATGGGATAGCTGATGCTTTCGCATTAAAATATGGCAAAATACATAAATTTATTTGTCGGAAACTCGATGGATCTATCCTGATTGCGCTGCGCAGAGAGAGACGCTTCTTTCTGCAGCTTCGGCGGGCGTAGGTTCCAAACACGCTTCACCCACAGCAACACAAAGTATGGTGTTTAGCCTAAGTGCACCATAGCCAAACCACCCTAAGAGTCAATGGGGGAGGGGAGAACGAGGGGGGGGCACTGGCTATTCTGGAAGGAAAACGGATGCTACTGGAACGTTTGAGAGTGACGTGCGAAGAGGATAAGTGGAACATCAGCTGCGTTGCCAGTGTTGGCTCAAATGAAGCAGGTCGGTCCTCTTGCATGTACAGTAATAGTCAACGGATTGGCGAAAAAATTCTATAAACCGTATTTACTCGCATAATAAACGGGCATCAATTGTAATATTTGGTCTTCTTTTCTTTCTCACATAATGAACACACATTTAATTTTCGGCTCCACGAGTCTTGAACTGCGTCCAGCTTAGCTAGCCGGCTAGCCACCAAGCCAATTTTCTTTTGCTGCCAAACGTTCAGGCCAAGTCAAGCCAAGCCACTCTCGTAATGGCTGCAATTGCGTGGTTGCAGAAGTGATCAACTGTGAAACCAAGCGGCGCGCGCGCCTAGCGAAGCTGGGGTCGAAGAATTACCCAGCCCCGGACATACTTCATCCACCGAATGCATTGATGTCAACAAACACGCCGTCGTCTGTGATCCGCTTTCAGACAGTGATATTGTGAAAGGGGCTAGGCCTAAGAATGATCACATTGCTCTCCATGCTGAGTGAGCTTCGTCGGGCGCTTTTCCTTCGGCAAAAGGCACACCAAAAGCGCCCTGAAAAAGGTTCGCAATTTATAGAGCATGGTAACTGTGGCGTGCCCACGACCAGCCATGGGCGCATCTCCGTCAGTGAAGACATGCCTGCCACGTCATATTGAACCTTAAATTGACATTTGTGCAAAGTGTGTAAATGCAAATGTTTTACCCCGCGTAATGAACATGTGTTCCCTATACATGTGTAAATTTTTCAGGAAAAAAAAGTGTGTTCATTATGTTAGTAAATACAGTAAGCGGTAATTCAATAAAAGTGAGAGAGCCAAAGAAACAGCGACAGCAGCCTTAAAGGTGGACGGGAACACTGCGGAACACTCTGACCATATATTTAATCAAATAAACCTTGGTTATGAACATCTTGTGGCAGCTTTACCGAGTAAAGAAATAATTAAGTGGAGTTTACCGATAACTTCATCTGGGCAACATTTCTCCTCGTACTGCTCTAGGCATGGCAAAAACACTGTCACCACCGCTGCACTCCACTTTGTTTCAAAGCAGCCGTAGGATGTTTCGCGTCTCCGCAGTCATTGGCGTTTCCCGAGGTGCCTCTCCGACGTCGCTTGGTGTTCACCCTGGCCGCACGCAAGGCCTATGATCACAGCCTCCGTGGCAGGAGCAACAACGGGAATGTCCACATCAACAATCGCGTATGAATCAAAGTTATCCCCGGTGGCTTTGCCAACATGTTTTCACACACTCCTGTAGAGTGTGTGAAAGTGGAAGCGGCGCTCTGCCAGCTCTCCGCACTCACCCCTCCGTCACCCGTTTACTCCGTTTTCCCAGTTTGCCGTTTGCCTCAGTGGAGAACGGGGAGGGAACGCAAGGGTCTCCGTGTACCTCCATGTAGGCTTGCATGCTTTTGGCACCTCGGCCCTCGTAATAAACGTTGTCGGCCGCCGATACACTCCGAATAATCCGGTTAAAAATGCGTGCATTTCTGCCGAGACTACGCTGAACTTCGACAAAAGCGGTAATTCGAAAAAAGCAATTTCGTTATAACAAAGGATTACCGTATAATTAAAGAGTTGCACCCATTCTTCGTGTCAAAGCCTTCTGGGACCATGACACAGAAGAAATTCGCTATTAACAAAACTCAAAATTGTTTGAAACATAATGAGAAAAACATTAGCCTCATACATTTTGAGGACAATCTGTCACCCAAAGGCCCAGAGAGGGGAAGCTGGTGGTGATGACAGTGCCTCCTAACACGGAAAATCCCTCCGGAGCAGAGTTGCATAACTTAGTTGATGTACTGCTGAGACCGGTAATAACGAAGCTGGTTATAACGAAATAGCGGCTATAGCGAAGCGATCACGATTTCCCTTTCCCTTTTGCAATTCAATTACCGAAGTCGGTTATAACGAAATGGCGGATATGGCGAAGTGATTTTTAATTCCTGTTGACTTCGTTACAACCGGTCTCGGCAGTAGTAATAACCTCCCTAGTGTGCATGAAAAGCGTCTTTGATTGGTTCCTTTAGCATCCCATACCGCCCACGCATTTAAAATGGTCTTGAAAGGGCAACAGATTATGTTACGGGAGCCGGCGTGTCACGTTGTCGTATGTTGCCATCGGTCGGAAAAATTCCAGCCAAAGAGACGAATTAAAGCGAGTCCCACCATCGCTGCGGTGTCCCCACTCTTGCCCGCAGAATATTTTATGATCTGTCAAGTTGGAAAGTGACCTAGAGCAGAACAAGCGTCCGCTGTACCCAAGACCACCCCTGCTCTACTGCCGGGATCACAACAGGCAACAGCGCGACACGAACGCGACTTCACCGGGTGGAAATGGAGGGACCACAAACGAGGACGCGGCAAATTCACCGGTTGGAGACGCGTTCTGGGTGCCGTAACATTGCTGCAAGATCTCCCGTACGTGGGGCCATGCCGCCGGCGGGCGTTGCCCCAGAAGTGCTGCGGAGGACCCACCCTGTCCCTGAAGAGGTTGCGTGCCAGGGCCTTCTCCCTGTAGGTGGGGTCCAGCAGGCACAGCCTGGAGGTCAGCTCGGGCTTCAGGAAGCTCTCCACAAACTCTGCGTCCCACACGCCGGGGCCCCTGCAGTGCCAACAGATGCACTGCTGCCTTCAGGCGGAACCTTTAATGTGAAACATTCTTTGCCCAGGTGTTCAACATTTCGTGAAGCCCAAAAAAGAAGCCTGGATAAAAGCGTGGCCGCGAGGCTCGACACCGATTGGCTGATGGGTGGGAGAGAAGGAGTGAGGTGCTCGACGCCAATTGGTTAATGAGGAGGTCACGTGACCAGGGGTGAGATAAGGAGGAAAGGTAGGCAAGGAGGAGAAGTAATAGAGGAGGAGTGGGTTAAAAGGTTCTGAAGAAGTTCCTGGTTTATCATTTCAAGTGTACATGTGCCACGCGTTAAGTCCAAGCGTCTGACTGAACGAGCTAGACGTGCTGCTATACGATGATATGAACGTTTGTGATGCTAGAATGTTTCACGTACGCAGCACAACTGCCTAGCAATTTGCCAGTCTTTTTTATTCATTCATTTATTATTATGCTTCAGTGCATGTTTACGGCAGAAACTGATAGCCCTTGAAAGTAATCACCAGGGACACTTTTATCAATTAGAAAAAAAACGGCAAACTCCAAATCGGAGCTGTCTTTGAATAAGAACCACCCAAGCTTCAAGAGAATACATTGAAACCTCGTTATAACAAAATGGGATATAACAAACTAATGGATATAACAAAGCAATCATAATTCCCCTTGCTTGCTAATAGTGGGAAGAAATGGACAGTGGCTATAACAAACTAATGGTTATAACGAAAGAATTACGACCGCTCCTTTAACTTTGTTATAACGAGGTTTAACTGTACAGTATAGACCACTTACAACGTAACCGCTTATAGTGCAGGACCGGGTATAACGCGGTTTTTTTAAACCACCGGTTCGCCTCCCATGGAACTCCATGTAATTACATACCGCTTAAAACGCAGGCGCGCGACGGGAAATACCGGTTATAGTGCGGTTTCTGGCACAGCCCGCCGACCGCGCCGACGACCGGAGCAGCGAGCACGCTTGCCTGTGCGACACTAGATAACGGCGCTGACGGCGCGAGCCGCAAGCGTTGCGCAAGCGGCACTCGCGGGGCAAGGAGGGTGCTCGAAGAAGCGGGAGAAGCGAAGAGAGAGGCTTCAGCAGCTTCAGTTGCCCTAGCGACGGAGGGACGCACGCACGTGTCGTTCACGTGCGTGCGTCCCTCCACTGCGTTGGAAACCAACAACCGCAACGACAGGAGAAGTGTTCGCGCGCGTTGCATGCCCGTCGCGGGCCGGCTGCTTCTATATGCGAACAAGGCGTCGGTTGTGATCAACGTTGTGATCGTCGTCGTAGACGGCGTTCATCTCATCGTTCCGCGTAAAAGCGCTATCCTTGACTGTGAATTTTCGTCGTGTGTCGCTATGATAACCCGGCACGTATTAGAAGAGAAGATCCACCTACTCGAGCGGCGATGTCGTGGCGGCGCTCTCAAGTCGGCAGAAACGCCCGTGTCGTCGTGTTTGTTTACTTCGACTACAGTGATTTCTCAGCATTTGTGTCCTCGAACATCGCCCGGATTTCTTATTTGGCGCATTTCATGCGTGTGCTCAAGTGCAAGGTATTACTGGCGCGTACCGTATGAAGGATGCGAATTTTCACGCGTTTTCATCTCCGGTTAAAAGTGATTAGGGTTAGCAATCCTGAACGTTCGCAACATCCGTCCGCAACCCGCGACGCCGCTAAGAGGCTGCGCCAGGCAAAAGCCGCTCATTTGTTTCAAAATGAGTGACACACTTGAGACAGAACTGTACTAGTTTGGTGAAATAAAGACTTTCCTCAAACTAAGCTTTATTTTTCATCTAACATAAAATAAATTCTTTTACAAAGGTAAGTTGTATTTTGGCATGTATTTTGGCCTGAAAAATTGATGTTTTGGTTATAGTGCGGTACCGCTTATAGTGCGGATTTTCGCGACTCCCGCGACATACGTTATATGCGGTCTACACTGTATATCTAAATCTAGTCCCATTTTGTGATGACCCAGAACACGACCCACACTAAACTGTTTGCAAGGTTGCTTTTTCTTTTTAGAAGCCCTTTATCTTGTGTCCTTCTCTAATGTGTAACGGGTATGTTTTCTAAGTATTCAAATTGAGCGCAAGTTTCCTAGAAGTCGAGGAATCCCATGGCCGTGTTCGGTTTTCTGTGAGATAGGCTGCTGACAAGCGTAGGTTGTTTTCTTTATTTAAAACCGGAAATAGACATTGTAAAATGCTAAATTTGTGAGGAAAAAAATACAAACAAAAGATCAATGAAGATAATTCCTGGAGAAGGGGAACACGGGGGACAAAGGACAAACACAAATCTCCAAACACAACTATGTGACTGGTGCGCGACCGAAAAAATCTGCCTGGTCCTGGTAACAAAGCAGGGATCCCTCCATTTCCAGTGGAGCACTCTACAAACTGAGCTAACCAGGCGTTAGACGTTAGTAGAGCAGACGGGTTTAATCAGCTACCACCAGTCTAACACCAACAAGGGTGAATGGCTTGCATTTTTAAGGCATTATGATTGATAATGCAATTGCATTATCAATCATAACCTTAAAAATGCAAGCCAATGCTAGCCAACCTTAAAAATGCAAGCAAGCAAAAATGCAAGCTACGTCTGGATGTTGGGCACAGCAGCCAAACTACTTTTCTACGCCACGCCCCTCAAGCACTCCCTCCAGGCTAGTTCATGCATTTTCATTTGACTGCGATGAAGTGCACTGCATTTGCTTGTAACCCCTTGTGATGAGAGAACACACTGGCATGCTGGAGCCAAGCATCAGCAAGTCCTGGTATGCATCCAATCTGCCCATATATTTCTTAATATTTTATGCATCACTTTTTTATCGAGGTCTCAGACTAAATCTGACAATGTTAAAAATGACCATTTCTCCTAGAGTGTGCATAGCTCTGATCTCACAAATACCGCAGTACCTTAGTAGTAAAAGATGTCTTTATTAACCGTAGGACGGGAAAGAGGAAGCAAGAGTCACGGCAGCGGCTTCTCAGCTTGGACGAGGCCACACAAGGGGAACACGTAAAAGTTTATACACTATCTTCACTTTGTGGACATAGTCCCCGAGCGTAGTTAGCGTCTATCGCTATGATACCTGGAACGCGTCTCAGACTGGCGTGTTTAGCGCCCCATTCCACCCGTGCATCGAAAGCGGGAAGTTGAACCTTACCCGCAGGGCAAAAGTGTTCAAGGACCAGCCAACAGATGGCGTCGGTGTGCCGGCGTGTTGTCTCGTCGTGAGCTTGACGCACTCTATTGTGCTCCGACGCAAATCTCCTAACCGGCCTTTAGACTCGAGCCTCGGTGCTAAGACCCCGCGGCCGCATCTCACCTGCGCTGCACCTGTCGGTATGTGAAGGCCAGCAGGTCAGCAAGGCCCCCGCTGCCCTCGAGCACCAACAGGGGCAGCTGGCGCCGCAGGTGGTCCAGGCACAGGCGCAGGCAGCCAATGCCCCCACAAACCAGCAGCGACACCAGCGGCACCGAGTCCTCTGCGTCACGCATGCGCATCCGAGACTTCGAGAGAGCTAACGAAACTCCATATCCGTCCCCCGTAAATAAACTGTGCGTCGCAGAAATCTGGAAGTCCACTGGAATACGACTCTACTCTCTGTTTAACTTTAAATGCGAGCGCAACGGAAGTTACCAGACACAAAAGCCAAATGACCGAGTTCCAAGCTTTGAGCGTCCCTGCTGAGCAACGAGCTTGTGCTTGTAGCTTTGGTTTCGCTCACACGTAAAGTGAAACTATAGCGGTGGAGCTGGGATGCGAATGTTTGAGAACATGACAGCGCCTGGTTTTTAAATCGGAGAGAGAAACGAAATTTCTCTATGAGGAGGTGCCGATCTCAAATAGAAATGAACGGAACATGTCTGCTCTGCATCGCATTGCATATAAGGCACCACCATGCTCAACTTAGAAGCAGCGTTTACTTTTAACTTTGCCGCCATACCGCAGCACCGCTGCCAGGCAAGCCATGGCCCATCGAATGGATGGTGCCACTTGCCGCGCGGCAGGTGGCACCATCCATTCGATGGGCAGGAATGCGGCACTGTGGAAACCAAGCTAGCCTTGACTATGCAGTGCAGAGAAGAAATATTGAGTGTAGTTTGTGGTTTACAGATCTTCTAAACCATTATGAAACTAGCCCAAACCCAAAGCTTTAAAGAGAAGGGAGAAGCGGGCGCACCCCGGTCCGGCGACTCTGCCAGGGAGGCGAGGTGCTGTTCCAGCCGGATCAGGAAGTAGTTGAGGCCCGTCTTGTTCACCGTGTCGTCCCTCACCAGCAGGAAGTGCGAGTGGTCCGGGTTCAGCTCGTATTTGGACTCTTCCGGCCGGTTGCCCTCATTCTCTATGTGCACCTCCGCCTGCTAAGAAGGAAAACATTTATACATTAACATCAACTGACCTTGTGCATATGTCCTAACATTATGTATTGATATTTTAGTTAGAAGTACTACTCTAGTAGTATTTCCTAATATGTGTGGGGGCTTCTCATTTTTGGTGGTGAGAGAAAGAAGGAAGCTCAAAACATGTTAGCAACATTTTCTGTAGTTAGTTCCGGTATTTGTTGCTTTCATCCTTTCTAATTTTTGGTTTCGTCCTTATTCCATTTTTGCGTTTGTGCACAAGGCAGAGGAATGCTGTGGTTGTTTATAGGCACCCAAATATAGAGACTACCATCATTAGTATTAATGGCACTCCAGTTAAACTGGACAGAACTGATGAAGGGGTTAGAAAAAACAAGTCACATTTGGAATGACAGAAGAGAAACCTGGCCAGTGCGCAGGGCCCAGCACATTCTGAAAGATCATGCGTGCCGAGCTACACACCACACCTCGGGTCATCAAACTCAATTCCTAGGAACCCAACGGGTCCCCCAGAGTCGACTCAAAGGCTGCCCGAGCTCCAGAATTTTCTCGGCCACCCCTACCCCCAAGTAAATTCTTCCTACAGTTTAAGCACTATTTCAAAGGACCTGAACCACTTAATGACACATTACTATGTGCCAGTCACTCTCTAGTAAGAGCGTTATTGCTTAGAAAGTCTGTCGGCTTCTGTGCGGCTTTACTGGGTCAATGCCGAGACCGGGAGCAGTTCCTCAGCTACCAATCAAAAGAAATGGGCATTCGTGCAGTTTGAAAAGCTTGAGAATCCCTCGTCTAGACGCCTGCAAATGTGCAAAGCTTTCCAAATGGCATGTGCAGCTGTGAAACATGTGGTTGTTGGAGAGGACCCTTAGCTATAGCAATCGAAGTTGAGAGGCACTCCTAGAGATCAAAAGGTCCGCTAAACTGAAGTGGTACAATCCAGACATGATTGCAACAGGGAGTTGTGCAAGTGCATATCAAGTGACTCATCAGAGCCCCACAACTCGTGAGTCGAGATGTTCGAGAGGTTCAGCTTTTAAGCACTTCTGCTTCGGATGCTTCGAAAGGGAAATCAAGTTTGTCAGATATCCCGGGGTCTGAAACGTGTATCGTGTAGCAGTGGTACAAGACCACAAAGCAGGTACGATGCTCATCCATCTCGATCTGGACGACCATTGTAATGGTGTAATTGTGTATCACTACTGCATGATGCACGTTACAGACCCCAGGCTAGCAGTCGTAGTGCAACGATTAAATTTCTCATCTACAGCGTAAACTGGTGTCACCATACCTCAAAGGCAAACCAACCTTACGCTTTCTAAACTGCTTTGATCATTCTGATAATCCCGGCAAACACAGAATGTGTTCGGTGTGTATTACGCCTGCGTTATAATTTGCAATGTTTGTTTGCGGGGTGCTTTGGGTGGCTTTGTATGTGCTGCACACACAACACACTCCTGTAATCTCCGGGTTCATCAAAATGATTGAGATAAGTATAAATTCATTCAGGAGTAAAGTGTGTAACAAGCATGTTTAAAAGAGAAGTTTCCCATGGCTTCTGCTCTTTGGTGGGTGCATATAGGACCATGAATTCTTAGTGCTCTTGGATTTTTAGGAGCCCCTCGTGGCAACAAGTTAATTGCGAGAGGAGAAGATTTTCCGCGCCCTTTATTGATTTTTATCCAAAGTTATGACGTCATACGCCTGCCACGCTATCCATTGGTGCACTATGATTCACCCCTCGATGCCATGAGTCCACGTGGGGAGCTAGGCTTCGTCGAGAACCAAGTGAGCTCGCCGACAGTCGCCTGCAGACTAAGTATAATGGACTATCTAGGTATGAATTGCCAGCAATGGTCGTCTGCAGATTAAGTATGCTGAACCTGAACCACTTAATGACCTCCAACGGTCGCCTGCGGACAAAGTATCATTTGCCATCAACAGTCGTCTGCAGACCAAGTATGCTTATCTAAGTACGAGTCACCGCCGACGGCCCCCTGCGGACTAAGTATGCCGGACGGAGTATAACTTGCCAGCGACTGTAGCCTGCAGATTAAGTATGCTGGACTGAGTATGACTCGGCAAAAACAATAGACTGTGAACTTGTGATGTAGCCAGGAATTTTTTTCGGAGGGGGCGGGGTGTGAGGGGCGAGGGGTTGAGGTGCCTGGGATGTCTATGACTTGGGATGCAGGGAGAGGGGGGCGGGGGGGGAAGGTCAAAATGCACGTGTTATATTATAGAGTCAGCTGGATTTCCAATGGAAGACTGATGCCCCCCCCCCCCTTGCTACGCCACTGCTTTGGACTAAGTTTGCTGAACTAACTATAACCAGCCTCCGATGGTCGGCTGCAGACTAAGTACGCTGAACCAAGTATGCTGAACTAATAATCACTTGCCGCCGCACACTACCGCAGGTCACCGTCAACAGCAAGTCATACTTAGTCCAGTTGCTTGCCCTTTCGTTCATCTACTCCTGGCACCAAACAAAGATGTTGGACTGCGGATCCCGTGGTTCGGGGTTTGTTTCCCGCTGAGCTCCTTGGTGGATCTCTCAGGTTTCGATTCTTTGTTTCTAGCTATGATTAAGTATGAATTATTGTGACTAATTATGCTTTCTGTGTGCTTTGAATGTTTATGCATTGCCTGCTACGGGCTATGCACCCTTTATGTTGCCTTGGCCTGTATGTTCTTTTTTGTTTGTTTTTTCGTAACACTTTTGCATAACTTTTCTATAAAATCCCGCTCATAAGCACATTCTCTGTTAAAACAAATGTCTAATTTCTTTTTTTTTTTTTTTTGGGGGGGGGGTTTGGAAAATAGAATTTCCCTTTTTCTCCAACATCACAAGCATACATTTATGTGCGGTTCCAACAAGTATGGGAGCACTATGCTTACTTTCAAAGCTGGATTCAGTGGCGACTTTTTCCAAAGAGAAGACGGCATGTGCACAGTTTCTTAGTGCAAACCTGAACGCATTTTCGTCTGCTCGTTTACTCACTGTGTTTAGTGCAGGTCGCAGCCGACGTTTGCAGCAGGTGAAAATGCACAAACAAACAGAGAGAGAGCATTAACATACAGCAAGCATGCAATGAAATGTGGTCGCACTTTAGCAATTATACTGATCTATTGTCTGTTGCAAGTTAAGAATAGCAAGAAAAGCTCCTCTCACAAAGCCAGCCCTCTCTTTCCACTTTAGTAGAGTGAATGCTGGAGAGGAGGAAACCACCAATCACAGTGAAGAAAGAGCTTTATGGGAAGGGCTTGTCCTGCTATTCTTCATCTACAACAGATTGCCACTCAGAATGACTCCTTAAAGGACACATGCAAAGGAAAAAAACATTTTTTTTTAAACGGCTTAGATGGAAAAAGGACGCCATAAAACGATTTTACAACGAAGAAACAAAATTTTTAGAGCTATATTTACGGCGCAAAACGAATTTGTAATTGGCGCCCGCGGGCACCGCGGAAAAGTGGTTCGTATTTATCACGTGACTGGTCTTTATTTATCACGTGGTGCTTGCATTCTTTCGGAAGCTTCCTATGGCCTCTAAAAGTAACTTATTCATCTTTGTTTGAAGTATAACAAAAAACTAAGATGAATAAGTAACTTTTAGAGCCCAAAGGAAACTCCTGAAAAAGCGCAAGCAGACGTGATGGACCTGTGCGCCAATCAGACGACGGCGGCGGCGCCCCGAAGCAGACGAACTTGTGCGGCGGCGGCGACGGCGGCGTGGAGAAACGCGTTGAAGCGGCGTTCGCACAACGCTCAGCGTGCGGCGGCGACGCAGCGCGGCGGCGCGCGGGCCTAGCACGTGACCAGCGGCGGCTCCCGCGAGCGCCAACTACAAATTCGTATAGCGCCGTAAAAATAGCTCTAAAAATTTTTTTTCTTCGTTGTAAAATCGTTTTATGACATCCTTTTTCCATCTAAGCTGTCTAAAAAAAATGTTTTTTTCCTTTGCATGTGTCCTTTAAGAAGCCACCATTCTCCCGAAAACAAGTAGCAGACGATGCAGAGCTTAGCTGCGCCTAAACGGTTTGCTCCGTCCGGGTAGCATCGAAAAAACACTGACATGGTTTTTACTGAAAGACAACCCAAGACGGCCCAACCAGCCATAAAAACTACACAAGGGTTGGAAGCCAAAAATTGTGCATTCAAGGCACATACCCACACTCATACCCATTTTTATGGTCGTGTAGAATGACAACTTGGTGCAGTAAATATTTTCGAAGTTATATGTTATCTAAGAAACATATTAATTAATTAAAGATATAAATTCCAAAAAGCATGATTGTTACAACTACTGAAATTCCAAACATGTGGCAATTTAAATCAATTTGAGGTCATATCATAAGAAACTCTCCGTGACACCTATAGACTGCGACATAGTAAAGTGCTCGTGGTACTTCACTTGTTTCAGTCTAGCTTTCGTTTGATCTCAGCAAATATGCAAAACCGCAGCAAAATAGATTTTGGTAGTACCTTGACATGATAATCTAGTCTTTAGTGCAAAAAATCAATGTTTTTGCAGTGACAGTTGAGGTATGGACTTATCAACAGCATCCATGATGGCATGGTGCTAGACAAAAAACTTTATGTTGTCATCAAAGACGTGACCACATCCAACCAAAGTAGTTCACCCCTTGGCCTAGAGATAGCAGGCCCGCCCATGTGCTCGGCGGTGTTGTGGGGCTGCCGTCCGCCTCGGACTGGAGCAAAACATTCCACTATTACAGCAATAGTTACAGCGATAGCCTATGGTGCCTGTCTTGATTTTGTCTTAGGCAGGGACGTTGACTTACGTGTACAGAGTGTTCTCTTTCCTATACTACACTATATACATACATATATATATATACATTAGTATACCGCAATATCCCAAGAGACAGCCCACCTGAAATCCAAAGCAAATCGGGTGAAAATGAGGAGTGGGATAACTTTCAATGTGCAATCAAAAAAAGTAAAAAAAAACAAGCACCTTTAAATTTTGTGATCTGCGAAACTTGTAATCGCAGGGAGGGGTGATGAGCTAAGACGACTGTCCTTTCCAGTCAGCAATGTTCGCTTATCTCCCATTGTGGCTAAAGAACACCACTTCTGCCGAGGCCACCATTGGCCAGGGCCCCGCAATTGCTATAAGTCTTTCAATGATCTTAAGAAAAGAGAAAGTTGTGCCAAAAAAATGGAAGCCGTTTACAATTCCCTGTAACGCCGGTTAGAGCGCAGCTCTTGAAGAGGAAGATGGAAGCGTACTGAGGGATAGGTGACTCCTTGAGGTCACGTGACCTAAGGGGGCTGCGTGACGTCAGGGGGGTCACGTGACCTCGGGGGTCGCGTGACTTCAGGGGGGTCACGTGAACTCGGGGGTCACGTGTCCCGAAAGGGGTAACGTGACCTCAGGGGGGTCACATAGCCTCAGTGGGGTCACAAAGGCCTCAGTGGGGTCACGTGGCCTCAGGGGGTCACGTGGCCTCAGGGGGTCACATGGCCTCAGGGGGTCACGTGGCCTCAGGGGGTTACGTGATCTGAGGCGGGTCAAGTGACCTGAGGGGGGACACATGACCTGAGGGGGGTCACGTGACCTGAGGGGGGTCACGTGACCTGAGGGGAGTCACGTGACCTGAGGGGAGTCACGTGACCTGTGGGGGTCACGTGACCTAGGGGGGTCACGTGGCCTCAGTGGCGTCACGTGGCCTCAGGAAGTTACGTGATCTGAGGCGGGTCAAGTGACCTGAGGGGGGGGGGGACACGTGACCTGAGGGGGGACACGTGACCTGAGGGGGGACACGTGACCTGAGGGGGGTCACGTGACCTGAGGGAGGCACGTGACCTGAGGGGGGCACGTGACCTAGGGGGGTCACGTGACCTTAGGGGGTCACGTGACTTCAGGGGGTCACGTGACCTCAGGGGGTCACATGATTTCAGGGGTCACGTGACCTGAGGGGGTCACGTGACCTGGGGGGTCACGTGACCTCGCGGTGACGCCGACGCCGCTCAAGCCGGAAACGGCCCCTAAGAGCTGCGCTCTAAAATGGGGGTGGGTTATCTTTCAGGGTGGGGCATCACTCGGAATTTTATGGTATAGTATATATAAAATGAATTATTTATTATAATATAATTTATGTAAAGAGGAGGAGGGGAGGGTACGAAGGAGGAGGGGAAGGTATGGAGGAGGAGGGGAGGGCTTGGAGGAGGAGGAGAGGGTATGCAGGAGGAGGGGGGGAGGGTCCTCCTCCTCCTCCTCCTCTGGTTATGCCGACACTGCACGACAGGAACGAGTGCCTAAGAGCTGCGCTCTAAAAAAACTCGAGCAAGAAATTTTTATGAGGGATTCCTAGGAAAGTTGGCTGAGTATTTTCTAGCGAATGGAACTGGCCCATGACAGACTTTTACAATAAGACAGTGGCTATATGGTAGACAAGTGAGGAGCCAACTGACAAGCATCCACGGTGACACTTCAGCACACTCTCACTTTTCTGTGATGAACAATGAGAATCAATTCCTACATGGTTCAGTCACAAATTTCTTAGCTCAGTGTGTCTGAAATGCACGAATGAGCAATGCCAGAATGAGCCTGCCTAGCTCACCTAGGAGCAATCAGTCACCAATTAACATGCATGCAAGCAAGAAAAGCCTTTTCTTTTTTCTTTTTTTTTTTAAGTCTTCAACCAGGTATTTCAGAGAAGCATAGGAAGTGTGAATTTTACTTCTCAAAGAAACCTCGTTACTTTCTACAAAGAACAAGAACCCTGCCAGCAAACACTTTGAACCCCACTCAACAACTTTGAGGCCCCTTAATACAAGGTTTAAGCCTCACAACAAGACCAAAACATAGGATCTGCTAAACGAAGCAAAGATTCCTTGTCGCTGCACAAGCAAAGCCTCCGTCGCCCCTCTGAGGTTCAAGCAACTGAGACGAGAAAGAGATGTTACCCACTCACAGAAACAAATATCGGGAGCAAGTTCGCCTGCTCCCTGTGCAGAGGCTACAGTGGCATCACGGAGCAGGGCTCCAACTGAGATATAGAGTATTCAAATGTGGCGCCATCTGCCAGATGCAAAAACCGCTCCCTAAGGCTGTCAGAAACCCACCACTTTTTTACAAACAAGGACTCAGTCTTCGAGAAAGGGGAGTAGAAATACTTCGAATGATATGTTATTTTCGTCAACTATACTCCGTTTTGCCTCAGGACGAACTGCAATGGACACTATGAGCCATGTTACTCAATCCAGCATGCCACCTGTGCCTCTGTGCTTTCTTGTCTTCCTTGTCCCCATTTTTCTAAGGCACTTTAATCTAAATGAGTATGACCTCATGCTCCGCACGTCTCCCCGTCCAACTGGAAGGTTAGTTGACAGGCTCCACGCTATGGATTGGCTCAGCTGACTCATAGCATCTGCTGCAGTACATTGTAAGGTGGAACAGGGTTAATAACCACCATTGTAAAATCCCGTAAGGAAGCCCTCTCCCGAGAGATCACCCATCCCGTTTTTCTGGCTAAATATATAACATAAAAATTCCAAAACACCGCCCACCCCCGATTCCCGTTGGATGTCAAACAATGTCCGATGGGAATCGCGCATCATTGGCGCGATCTGCGGGACCGATATGGTCTGAGAAGCGAGTTCATAGCGGGTTCCTGCATTATTGTCTGTGATATGCGCTTCCCGCAACACACGAGTTGTTCCCACATGTATATTGCATCAAGAAATGTGAATCTGCTGCGTTCGCAATTTGTGGTATTTGTTCCTGAGTTTGTAGCGGATTCCCATGTTTTTGTCCGCAATCTGCAAGCGCGATATTGATTCTCAGCTGTAACACGCACGAGTTGTTCCCACATGTATATTGCATCATGAAATGCGATTCTGCTGCGTCTGCAATCTGCGGTATCCGTTCCCGTGAGATGCGAGTTCTCGGCAAGTTTCCGCGAGTCTTTCGCACTGTGAAATGCGAATCTGCTGTGTCGGCCACTTGCGGTATGCTTCCCGTGACAGAGGAGTTCGTAGCGAATTTCCACATATTAATCGCATCGAGAAACGCGAATTTGCCGGGTCCGCGATCTGCGGTATCAGTTCCCGCGTCACGTGGTTTGTAGCGGGTGCTTATCATTAATTTTTGAAAAAGTTTTGCTGTGGCATCCCCAAAGATAGCCCACCCCGTTTTTCACCGTTTATCTCTTCATTGTGGCTGGGCGTTTTTACGGGATTTTACGGTAGCTGTACTACAACGAACCTAGGGCCTAAATCTTGTTTTGAGACCCGGAGCAGAGAACAGTACTTCGCATCTCCCTCCTGATGCCCGAAAAGAGACCTTTCCTCTCTCGTGCGCAAAGGGGCGCATTTCTGTCGTAACGCTTACCCGTCCGTCGAAGAGGTCGGCATGTGCCAGGAGATCGTCCCTCACCACCCCGAGCAGGGTGAGGGGGGGCAGGGCGGCCCCACTGCGGCTGGGGTGTCTCGGGCAACGCTGGGCCTGGCGCCGGCCCAGCTCGGCCCCCACGGCGTCCCCAACCTCCTTGGCCAGACCCACGTTCAAGCCATGCGTCAGGATCCACATCTCCGTTGTGTTGGCCGCCTGGCATCCCACAGAACAGGGGGTATCCTTCAATTGGTAGTTGTGCCTCGAAAACATCTCTCAATGGTGTGTTTACCTTCTTCAGCTGGCTGGTACACAGTTGAACTTGAGTGTGCTTGAGTGTGTAGCATATGCTCGTAACCACTCAACACTAGAGTATTACAAAGAGTTTTCAACTGCTCAATCAAGGTCACGTGGTTTATGGGCAGCGTTTTCAATACGAGCTGCTGGGGGGTGGTGAAAGCGTGGATCATCCGCAAATATCTTTGCCTTCTTGCCTACTTTCCTCCTCGCCACACGACAATGCAGCGCATGCGCATTTGTAATCAATCTCCGCGGGAGACATACGCCATTAAATTGCAAACACTCCCGACGGTTTAAGTCGGACCCTCCCTACAATCTACCGTAAAATACCGAGCAAGCGCCCACTCAAACTTCAGAGATAATCACAAAAATGGGGGATGGGCGCTTGTCCGGTCATCAATTTTACATATAAATGTACTGTGTGTATTTTCTAAGATCTTACAAACTTGGGGATGGGCGCTTAATGTGGAAAGGGTGGAAGCGCGGTATTCTACGGTAGGTTCTCTACATAACACGCTGGCGCCATTTATCGGGAAAAACACTTCCGACTTGTGTACGACTAGACTGAGGTTTTGCACTACTTGCGAGATCAAATCTAGGCACTAACTATGAGAAATAGTTGCTTATAACATTGTCAAAATTGCTTCAAGCCCACGATAAAGCAATGATGCATAAAAAAAACGTCCAGCCTTTCCACTCTCGTGAAGAAGGAAGACCAGCGGAGCTGTACTCGATACACCGTGTGTTTCTTCTTCGTCGTCGGCTGTTTTTTGCGCTGTTTCCTACAATGAATTCCCACCAACGCACCCAACTATCCATTCTTCTATTATAGCTGGAAAGGTTGGCGCCATCTACAAGCGACGGCAGAAACCATACTGGTTGTGTGCTTGCCGCCGTCGCTTATAGTTGGCGGTAGCTGTCCAGGTAGGTTTGTGTCGACATACACGGACACGATCCTGGGGAACGTAGCCCTTAACAGCTCGGCTGTAAAAAATTATAACATTTAGTATCGAGGCTGGAAATGTTCCAGGACGACCACCAGTGGGTCAGCGTGTTAAGTGGTTGACTCTAACACAACTCTATACCCTCATACTTTAACGCAAATGTGCGAGCCAGCCTTTAACTACCCATTCATCGACAACGGTGCCAAAGCGGCCAAGCCACGGGAGCCGAAACGTCACGCTGTCGGATAGTGTGATCCCCACGGTTTGATGTACAAGTTCCAGCGGAGAAAATGAGAGAATGAAGCATCGCCGTTGTTGCGGCATTCCAAGTTCCGGCTGCTGAAGTTTTTGTGGACGGCGAAACTAGAGAGCATATCCAATGGTAGAACGAGCGCACGCCACATCCACCTCCGCCACTGCAGCACCGCCAGGATCGTGGCAGGCAACGGCGCAATGCAAGTGTGATGTCGTCGGGTGGATATCGAGGCACCACAAACGAGGATGTAGTAAACGCACCAGTTGGAGACACGCTCCAGGCACCGCAGTCACTGGTTGCGATCCTGGCAGCGACTTGGCGGCGGTGGTGAAGGCACCGGATAGATCATTTCACGGGCCTACTTTTTGAGGCCCAACCTGGCCCGGGCCTAGTGACCCTCGGTCTTACCCGACCCGGGCCCAGTCTGACAAGATGCTTGATTGATCGGGCCCGGGCTAGGCCCGGCTTGAGGCACCTCGACTGTGGGAGTGGAAACGACGTCTCGGCCTGGCGAAAGGTTGTGGCGTGCCCGATCTCCTAAATCACAAGCAGCCCTGGGAAAGTATCAGTTCACTCAAATGGCTGGCGAAAAGCTATTGCTACTGCTTCGTTCTTGGCCAGGGAACATTGCTTGTTATCCGGCCCAACCTGGGCCTGTGCAGAGCTCTAGTGCAAAATGCCTATTCTGTCGTACGTCGATCTGCAGCCAGTTGGTGGACGAGAACTGCACTAGCCAAGGATCAAGATTCTTCGATGGAAGAGACCAATATGCCCGCTCGCCTTCTTTGCTGGCATTTCTACCTTTAACTGCCAGGATTGCGACCAATGATTTAATGTGCCACTGGCCTCTGCAATGTAATTTGCTGCCACTTCAGCGTCGCTTTATGTGCACAGTTGCTGAAGGATGCTGCACGCACCAGTTGAAGATATCTTCCAAGGCACCTAAGTTACAGCTACTACCGGTCAAGTGGAACGAACGTATAAGTGGGGGATTGTGAGTTCCAAACGAATTGGAAGAAAGAAAGGATGATGGTCAAATCCCTTCATACTGAATAGTTTGAATTGTCGAAGTGGATGGTTGATGGTGTTTTTTAAACAAAAGGTACAATTAGGTTTGCCAACATGTAAGTGAAGTATGTGCAAATATTCAATTATAAGGTCTGAAGCAAAATCAGAAGGTCCCTGTAGTTATTCTCAAAAGTTTAACGGCACCTATTCCTGCCCCCTAAGTAGGCACTAGGCGGATCACTGCCCTAAGCCATTAAAAGGTAACTCCAAACAGTTTCAAATGTCTCCAGATAGTGCGTAACCAAAATATTGAGTAAACCTTTCCAGGTAACGAGTGCAATTCAAGAACCACACAAAGCCTGTTTCCTAAGAGATATAGTACATTTTTCCTGCTTTCGTAATTCAACCCCTCCCTCTGCCTCTTCGTCCTTTTGATCTGGTACCGTATTTACTCGCATAATAAACGCACCCCCCCCCCCCCCCCCCCCAACAGGCATCAATATTTTTACTTTTTAGAGCGCAGCTCTTAGGGGCCCGTTTCCAGCCTGAGCGGCGTCGGCGTCGCCGTTGGCGTAACCGCGCCCCTCCCTCTCCTCCTCCTCCCCCCCTCCTCCTCCCCCTCCTTCTCCTCCTCCTCCCCTCATTGTGTAGTATGGTCCGGGCGGGTCAGGTGACCTCGGGGGGAGGGGGTCACATGACCCGTTTCCAGCCTGTGCGGCGTCGGCGTCGCCCCTCCCCCTCCTCCTCCTCCCCCTCCTCCCCCGCCCGGTAAAGGTGGTAAAGGAGAGGGAGGGGGAGCAGGAGGGGAGGAGGACTAGCAGGCATGATCATGAGGGAGGAGGAGGAATATACCCTCCACTCCTCCTCCTCAAGAGCTGCGCTCCAATTCGGCGTTACAGGAAGTTGTAAACAACTTTCACTTTTTTTTCCCTCCAGTAATCAGGCACCTCCAATTTTCTATTCCACGAGTCTCGAATGGCATCCAATTTAGCAAGCCACCAAGCCAGTTTTCTTTTGCTGTCAAGCGGTCAGGCCAAGTCAAGCTAAGGCAAGCCAAGCCAGGCTACTTTAATAATGGCCGCAAGTGCGTAGGTGCGGTAGTTACGGAAGTGACCAACCGGGGAACTGAGTGTCACGCACACTTGACGAAGCTTGGGTCGAGGAATTGCCAAGTCCCGGACATTAGCTTTCCCTCTCTTTCTTTAAAGGGGGACATGGGCCTAAGTTTCAAAATCTTTTTTAGAAAGTTAATGTTTTAATTTTGAGATTTTCAGTTTTAGAAACTAATTATACACCCTTACACTAAATTTCATAACCATGTGCCAAATAGTTACGTTGATATAAAATATTTTCAGCACATTGTGAGGCAGTAACAAAGTAAAGGTGTTCAATGTTTGAAGGCATTTTTCTCAGTTCCACTTTTTGCTGCAAATTTCATACGAAGGAATCATTTGTTCGAAGGTAAAATTCGTCTGATTACACAATCAAGATGTTTCTGAACTGAAATTTACTGAGGAATCGGGCTATCTACTTTATTTTGTTTTAAGTTAAAGTCTTCATTGAGAAAAAACTATGTTTACAAAAATTGACATAGGACAGATATGCATCTCATGTTTTGAGGTAATCACTCTTCCTGAAATATTTATATTTAAGTTATAAAAACTAGATAGCCCTAAGTCCCACATCCCCAACTTTATATTCAAGCAGTTAAACCGATGCTTAATAGCTTCATTTGCATATCATCAATTTTTAAACGAAGAGTGACACATTCTTTTATGCTGGTATGTAAAGTTGTCCTAGAGAACTGAAAGTTTGCACAGTACACCTACGTCTGAAGTTAAATCTCCCCTGCAAATTTCATTCCAATCACTTTAATAGTTCAAAAGTTCAACCTCTAGCCAGTGTCCCCCCTTAAGTCTTCCGCCACGCTCGGTGGCTTGGCTCCCCCTGTTCTGCTGGTTGCATCATGCGTTGAGCAGTAAAAGGTTATGTATTCCCTGGTACACCTTTCTTTATCACGGTCCCCTAAAACTGTAGCAATGAAGCTCTTAAAGGGATGCTGAACTGAAATTTTGATTCCAGAAGACACCGCAGAAGCACTAGGCAGGACGCTACAAACAGGAAAGCATCACTGAAAAACAATATCTCCAACGGATCGTCATATTTTTGTGAAAGAAGAGTGCGCTTGGAACAAGGCCAAAAAGGCCCGTGACTTTGCGATTCTCGTTTCCTCCTCTTCTCGCTTTGACTCCGCGAGGACGCGAAGAGGGAAGGAAGCAAGGCCGTTTCCCCTCCTCCTCAACTATTCCAAAGAAAACGCGACATTGCGATTCTCACTCAATTACAAAAATACGGTCATCCATTCAAGATATCACTTTATGAGTGGCGTTTTGGAGTTTGAGGCGCACCGTTGAACACTCCTGCTACCTTATTTTGTGAAATCCAAATTTTGGTTCAGCACCCCTTAAACAGTCTGCCATTTCATAAACATAAAGGCTGGTTCACATATTTGCATTTGAGTAGGACCATATGCATTACCACTGCTTGGAATCCACTACAACACACGGTACAAAGTTGAAAAGTGACTGTAGCGGTATGCAAGTGGCACTTAAATTCGACCAGTCCCGAATTATACCGAAGATTTTGCGGTACATATCTTCAAGATCAAATCTGTGCACTATCTATGAGGATCGCTTGTAACATCATCA